TTTTGCATCTTAAAGATTATAGGGAGTAACATGTTGTAGTTTTAGTTATTTGCTACCCGAGTTTTGTGTTTAAACTTTGCAGTTTAAACTTTGTGTTTAAACTTTATCCACTTGTTCGATCGTTAAATATTTTAGAAAGTTGATAATGTCAGTGTTTATGGGATGACCAGAAAGGATTAAAGAGAACTTCAGGTTCCAGGGAAAGGTGCTTGTAAACCTAACAAAGGTGACAAACCAGCCAAACCAAACCAAAAATTCCCCACTTCTTTATGTATAAGCTGATTAGTAGGTTTGAATTGAGAAGATACAAAAATGAGTGGATATGGCAGGTGTGGATAAAGGCTTTGCATAGTGACTCAAAGACTGAATTTGAAATAATATTATTTGTGTCTCCGTTACCATTTTTGAGACAACAGAACAATGAGTCACTTATAGACTGTGAAAACTTTCATAGTATGATTGTCCTCCTTGTTTCAGAATGTTACATTATAAATGTAAATATTTACTAAACGATACAATGTATAATAGGTTGAAATGAATCATACAGTTCCTGCTTCAGAGTAATTGCCTCAGGATGTCTAGGGATTCAGTTTTAATGCAGGAACTCTTGAGGATGAACTGTGTAATCAAGAGTCCATTCTTAATTTTTATTCAGTTTTTAAAAACCTATATGCACCTAGCTTAATGCAGATTCTAGCTAAATCTTGAAAGACCCTGTACCAGTGAACCTCTAGCAAATAACTTGGGAAAGGTGTTGCTTCTTATGAATCAGAAAGTATTGATAGTGTCTAGGATTATCTCCAGGTGAAAGATTTGGGCAGGATATTGTCCTGTCGACAGTGCAGCTCATGGGAGTCAACCTCATATTTTGAAGGAGATAAGTGACTTGGTGGTGGATAGGGCTGACTCAAGGAACATTTAGGGCACAAGCTAAATGCAGTGCTGTTTGTGTCTCCTAAAGCTGCTGAATAAAATGAGCTTGGGAAGTTTAGTGGAGGAGGTTTGAGTTGGCACGATTTTTATAGAACATGGTACTGTTAACAACATTGTTTCTCAAGTCCTCAACTCTGGAAACAGTGTGCTTTGCTTCCACTGGGTTATAAATATCATGCCAATTTTGAAACGTTAATAGAACGTTAATAGGTTGAATATTCAGCCTTTGGTTTCCAACAAAAGGCGCACAATAGCAGTGTAACTTCTTGCAAACTTTTCTGCTTCGAGTTGTAGATAAACCTTGCTCTAAACTACTTGGTAGATTTGCTAGACAAGCTTGTGATTGAGTGCTCTGTATGCTTGCCTTTTTGCTTCCACCTAGAATCCAGGGCCATTACTTTCTGTAACCATTTCAGTGAGCTGCCATAGTTTTCAGTCTGTACTGTCACCTGATCCAAGCATGCGCCAAAATACCCACCGTTTCTGGCTACTGTCTGCTGAATCTGCTTTGCAAACCCTTAGTTCTTTAAGCTTTTTGCTTAGCAAAAAAAACAACAGGCACTCTTACAGAGTGTACTGGACACATGCCATCCTGCTTCCCTAACTCCTCTAATTGTTTATGTAAATCCTTAGCTTTACTAAACTTGTAAATGCTACAACAGCATCCCCATGTGAAATTGTGTGGCTCATGTGTCAAAAAAGGCTGCTTGTGAAAATATTTGTCAGAAGAATATGAATGCTACACATTGCACTGCATTCAGTGTTTCGTATCAACTTATGATTGCAATGTCATGGTGTTTGGTTTTGATTGTAGACAATAATTTTGTGTTTTAATACGAAAAGGTAAGTTCATGTAAACTGTGAATGTACGGTATTTATATATAAACACAATGATTTGTATTTTTGGCCTCTTTCTGGAAGAAAAAAATTACTTAAATGTGATATGCAGAGGTCCAAGTCTTCTTTACTAACCCTTGTTTATGCATGACTCTTAGAGAAATATTTGATCTTGTGCAATAATAAATTGCTGGATTTTTTTGAATATATTGAGCCTGATCCTTTTTACGCTGAACACAATGGCTGGAAAATTGTTCTTATCTATAATAAGATTGAAAATGCTCCATTATATTACTATAGTTAATAGTTTTGTACTACTGATGTTGAAGAGGTTCTCAGAATAAGGGGTTAAATGTTCCTTTCACAAGATGTAGTGCTGAGCAACTTCACAACAGTATGTGTTTTCCATTATGATGAGGCTTTCTGGTAGATAAGTTAGGTGAGAAAATTAGTAACTTGTTCCTAAACTTAATAATTTAAGCTATAAATTTTTGTGTAGGAAAGCTAAATGTTTGCATAGGGTTTGGGACCCGTCACTATTTCTACCTTTTCTGTTCCCCTCAAGCACACCTGTTTCCTTTCAACATTTCATTCCATTTCAGTTCTCACTGTGACTACATCACACCTTTTCAATATGTCATATTCTTGTCTGCAATCTTATCTTTATTTCACAGCACTTTCTCTGTTCTTCCTCAGTCACTTCACCTGTTGCTCACTCTCATCATGACTTCACATTTTCTTGCACTCTTTGTCATAGAAAGGTCATTGGTGACAAGTAGGAGCAGTTTTTGCCACATGGTACCTAAAGGTGTAAAAAGTTATGAATTAGAAAATTGGTTGTTTGTTTGTTTGTTTTGTCTAGAAAAAGGTTACTTCTCCTTTGCAGGTGTTTTTCTGTGAAGTACAAAAATTGGTGTGACTGTTGAGTCAGTGTTTATAACCAGCTGCCTGTACTCAAGTCTCATTGAGCAAGAATTGTTCTGCATGGTCAGAGAACCACTTTTCTTACTACTTACACTTTTATGTTATAGAGAGAAACATGCTGCTTATCAAAGCAGTATTCCAGTCTATGACTGGAGGGGGAAGGAGGAATTGCTCCATTCCACCAAACAGAGTTAGAGATAACATTTGCAGAATGTACTTGTGGTCTTATATCTTCCATACAGCTCTGCTTTTTGTCAGATGCAGCTTTTGTCTTACAATCCATTTCCAAAGTTGCTCCATTCAACCAACCCTGCTGCTGCTACCTGGTGGCAGCAGGAACAGCCTCTGTCCAGAGATGCACACACCAAAGAGAAGAAATGTTGCTTCCTACTTGGGGTACCACAAATGGTTCTCAGAGCTGAGCTTGGGAGCTCCAACCCTGTGATGTGATGGATTATTTCTGTGTGATTCTCAGTTTTGGAAGCTGAAGTGTGAGCCCTTGCCAGCGGGTGGTTGAGCCATCTAACTCAGGATTACTGAGTATCAGCTCCAGCATTTGATATTCCCAGTCAGTGAAAGGGTTTAAACAGTGATTTCACACTGAGAGTGTGAAGTGCAGCATCTCGAGATTCTACCAGTAATGCACTGAAACCTGCTCGAGTGATCTCTGATATAATGAAACATATCAGTTCATGGAAACCCTTTGGTTTGTGTCTTAATGTGTATATTTTTGTCAGTTGCAGAGAACATTCCTAAGAACTCACTGTAGGTTTTTTTTTTCTGTTCAGCATTCATTTCTTAAAGCAAAGGTTGGATAAACTTCAGTCTGGGCACCCAGGCTGCTGCTGTTAGTCAGTGCAATGCTGTGAGTTACACGACATTGATATCTAAAGTTATGTGTAGTTGAATGTAAATACATACCTCTGTGCTCTTCCTTTTAATTAGAAAATGATCATTAGTTTATTTTAGAAAGATGAAAGCCTAGTTCTAAATGCAAATCGAGGCAAATTCATGAACGAGTACATCTTGCCGTGCAATGTTTTTGTTTCAGTAAATTTCAAGTTATGTGTATATCTACATCTTTCATTTTTGTTTGTCATGTTGTCAGAGAACCCAGTGTATGATATGGGGTTATCATACACGGTAAATATTCCTGATAGTACAAAATTGGTTCCAAATAAATCCCAGGTTTTGACCTTGATATTGTAAATTAGATTCAGCAAGGAGATATCAATGACTGGAAGTTTGTATCTGTGCAAAGTTCAGTTGACTTCAGGGAAATTGTATAAGAATCTCTCTACTCAGAACCCTTAGTAGCAACTGAGTGCCTGTTGTTTGTTACTAGTTTTCCCCTTATGTATCCAATTAACATAGTTTTCAACTAAATTCATTGGTACAGGTAAGCAATTTTGATAGAAGAAACAGCTGATAAACTGTAATTGTAAATGTCAATATTTGTTGACTTCATATGTAAAAAACTCGTGATACAAGAGCTTTAAATTGCTGAGCAGTTAAAGTAAATGGATTGCATGAACTTATTCTAGCAGCACTCTTTAAAAATATTTTTAATGTAGTGCTCAAGAAAAGCAGACAGGATACATTTAACATGTAACCTCCAGGACAATAAAGGTAATTAGAATCCATTGGCAGGGACAGGGAAATGTGAAGTTACCAGGATACTGAAGCAAAAAAAGCACCAACAAATGCATAGTCAACATATATCTTGTACTACTTAATGTTGTAAATATACATTAGTTTCAAATCCCTATTTCTTCTCAAAGTTAGAAGTGCCACAGAACTGTCTGTTTGATTAGTGATGCAGTCTTAACAAATTATTTTAAAATCTCGTTAATAGAGAGAGAACTACTTGAAATGGGAAAACCTATTGAGGTTATTTCAAAGACATCAAGTGTATAGCCAAATAAAATATTACTTTACTATTACAAATACTGTTTCATTACTGTTAGTAGTTTTTCAGTATGACAGAGTATCTGTGATGCTTTATTGCAAGTTACCTGTTGTTGGAAGCTGACAGTGTGGTCTTCAAGTAGGCAGAGATTGGAACAGTATCTACAGTATTTTGGTGTTATCCATCTTGTCAGAACCTGTTCACATGGGGGATAAACAAGGAAATTAATGAATAAGTCCCATTAGTGTTTGCTTGAAGTGTGATAGCTAGGAAATAAAAAGTGACCAGGTACAACAAAGTACTTGAATATGAAAAATCTGACTTTTCAGATTAATTGCATGAAACTTTATGTTGACATTGTGCAGAATAGTGAACTGATTTATACTTTGTCTTTCAGATGAACCAGAGACACGAGATGCATGGTGGGCAGAAATCAGACAAGAAATAAAATCCCATGCCAAGGCATTGGGTTGTCATGCTGTAGTGGGCTACAGTGAATCAACTAGCATTTGGTAAATCATGATGATGATTTGATTTTCAAAATGCCACAGAAAATGTTATTGCATCTTCGGTGGATTAAAACCTAACTCTTTCTGCACGGTTGTTGGTACTGCCTAATATACCTACTATAATACTATACTATCTATACCTGTTTAGTATACCTACTTCAGAGAGTTTAAGTGACTTTGAGATTTCAGTATTAGATTTTTCTTTTTTTTTAAAACGTTTGATTTGGTTTTTTATTGGGTCTTAAGTTTTTTTTCCTTACAAACATTACTTTTTTTTTTTAATAAAGCCTACATATTTGCTTTTGTAGTAACAATGTTAATTTATCTACAAAGTTTTCTAAACCTAATCTGCCTAAATAATTAAGATTCTCCCCAAAAGTATATGTATTGAAGTTTCATTATTAGGTAACAACTGGCAGACCAGTACTTGAATGGCAAACTTCAAATTTAAGGCATTTTTTACTTGTAAGTTAAAGGAGAATATGCTGCCTCATAGATGTAGAATATTTCAGGTGTAAATATTCTGTATTTCTTTCTGAAAAATGTGTGTCATTATTTTTGTCTTTCAGACCTACAGCAGTGTTTAACATACTAAACTGCAGCTCTGCAGTAGTCTTTGTGAGGTTGAATTCCAAAACTCCATTGTCTTACTGTGTTTCCTTTGGCTAAGAAAAATTCCAATCTTATGTATTTTAGTGGCTTAATAACAAACTTTGTGAGAGGCTTGGAATTTGGGAGAAATAATTTGGGGTTTATCTAGCCAATTGTCCTTCTCTCTACCCCCTAGAGACTCTGGAAAGTGTCTCTTTCTAGCTCTGGAAAGTAATCTGTGAAGAGCTACCTGGGCAAGGGTATCTGGTAGTATAAAACAAAAATACTCAGGTTCACTATTTGTTTTGAATTGCTTTATGAAAGGAACAAGCAAATTCAGACATCTGAATTTGTTTTCTGTCAAGCTGATTTTGCCTAAATACTTTAAAGTTAAAAACACTGAATATTTGCTTTTTTAAAGAGAGGAGTTGGAAAAAGAAGTTTCATTTCACTTTGCAGTTGAAAAGTTGAAGAAAGAAATACAGAGTTACACAGCATCTGTCTGAAATCCACATGAATTTGCTTCACATTTGTTGCTCCTTCACATGTATTGCTTCACTGCAGGTAGAAAAAAACCAACTGATGAATATATTCATCTTTCACAAAACTTGAAAACAATTTTTGAAAGTCAATTGCATTTAGAGTAGAAAAAGAAAAGAACTTTGCAGACAAGGCATGGTTTGTATTCCTTATGTTGTCTCGTCTGGTTATGTCCTGTCTTGCTTGGTGTATTGAAGACCATATTTATCTCAGAATTACTCCATCACTGAGGGATGAACTTGCAAAAAATGAGAAGTTTATTCCTTTGGCTGTCAATCTCATTGTAAAAAGCTACAGGGAAAGAATATACAGAGTGTAGGTAGGCAATCAGCTTTTGGGTTATTTCACACTTTCATTCTTCTTAAGGAATTTAGTGTGGTAGTATTTGGTTATTGATGAAATAGTTTATTAGAGTTCCCATGCTTACTTGCCAGTTCAACTTTATTCCATGCTTAAAGCACAAACCTCTGTGTGTAAGTACTGGTCTGCCAGACATGTGTGAAAAATTATTCTGGAAAGAGAAACAACAAATTAAAAAGGCACATGTATAATTCTAGGAAATGTGGGGAAACTGTTCTCCATATTCTTCTTTAATATAGTATTTTAAGTACTGAATATTACAGGTTTGTTTCTTATTTAACAATTTGAGAAATATTAAAAGCTCTGTGATCTAACACTCTTAAATCTGAGTTTGGGCTCTAACACTCCTAAATAATAAGTATTATCAGTTACTTTACATGCTATATTTGCCATTATTCTAGTTGTTCATACACAGTTTTTACTGTTTTGCTACTTCTTATCCTCCAAGAAACACCTTTGTCAGTGTTGTGTTGTAATTTCATTTTGAAAATTGAATGTTCATAAGACGATGAGGCTCTCAGCTTCCATTTTACTTTGGTAAACAATTACACTTTGGGTTGGTTTTTGTTTTTTTGGTTTTTTTTAGTGTTTCTTTGCTTTTGTTGGTTTGCTAACCATAGAACCGTTGTTAACCATAGAACTGAAAACCATACTTAAACTTGGTTAGCCTTCCTGTTCTGTTCTGTTATTTATAACATAAGTCAAAGCTCATTAGTCTTTCGGTTCAGTTCTTCTCATTCTTATTTATATGATGGTTTAAATGCCAGAAGAGTTGGTGAGATCGAATGGATAAAATTGCACAAATGTACAAAATAATTAGTAATATTAAATTCATGGAGTCTTTTGTACCAACCTTTTAATCTAATAGATTAAAGCATCACTGAGTAGTAGGAATTCACTTTGTTGTCATTCTTTTCTCTTATAGTGAAGAGGTCTGTATTTTGTCCGCGTCTGGCACAGCAGCTGTACTGAACCCTAGGTTCCTTCAGGATGGCACCATGGAAGGCTGTTTGGAACAAAGGTTGTCATGGCAGCCTGGCTTCTTTTCCATAGGGTCAGAGAAGGGAGAGGTTGATTTTTTTCCTCAGAGCCAAGATAGTTCTTCTCTATTAGGGTAGGTTACAGTGTTACAGTGCAGGATGCGGGACCAACCACTTTACTGCTTTTCACTAACAACAACAACCACAGAAGTAATGGAACTCTGCACCAAATTAGATATTCTGTTTTTATTTCTAACAGTCTGAATAAGGTAACACATTTGACTACTAACACAGATCATAACTCAGTTTTTTTTCTTTGCTGCTCTTCAGGTATCTTTCTCAACTTTATATCACACTATAAAAATGACAGATGTTTGATGGAATACATAAGCCAAAAGCAGCTGTAGCTGTAATATGTGTATATATGCTCTATATATACTATTTAAGAGCTGCATGGGAGATAAAATAGCTTCCTTGTGAGACAAAGACGGTGCCAGATTATTACAAAATGTTTTATTTGAAGTTTGTGAACAAAATCGTGAAGCTGAAGGACAAACATGAAGCTTCCATTTGTTTCTGCTTTTGCAAATAAAATTTAAGAATGGGTATTGCCAAACAATTACTTTGGGGAAAAAATAATTAAATTAACTAACGCATATCAGTAACTTATTATGTGTTCATCAGGATAGTGTTTAAATATTTCAAGGGATTATTGTGCCTGTAAGCAAGGCTATTTATTACACTTTAGCATTCTCATTACTTTTTCCATAATAAACCAGCCAATGTAGTATTATTTATTATTCTTTTACTTTTTTGGTCATTATCTTCTAGTGTAGATAGACTTTTAAAAATTGTAGCCAGAACAAAAATAGTTGTCTTTGTAGTCACTATATGATGGAGAGAAAGAAGTGTCATGTTTATAATATAAAGGAAATTGCACTTTTATCAAAATATGTATTTTGGTGCTACTAAGAGTCTTGGCATAGACTAGAAATGCCAAAGAAAGGTAAAACAACAGACAAAGATAATGCTTGAGACAAAATATATTTGCCAAAGTCTTATGATAAATAATGTTCCAAATCTATCAGATTTGCTTAAGCACCTCTTCAAAATCACTGAGAATTGTTTACATGAAACAGAGTAAATCTGCAGTGGTGCAGTTAGCCTGTGCTTTCCTTGGTCATATTTTTATGGTGGTCATTCCTGGGTATTGTTTGTGGGAGTGGGACTAAGTGTTTTAAGTGGATAACAAGTTTTACCTAATACCTTATCTTAGGAAATAATCTTGCTCTTCTTCTTACAATGTTAATATATATTGTGTTGCTTCTCAGGATGGTTGGTTTGTTGTTTATATTCTGCTCATTGAGTTTGTGTAGGTTTTTGGACACAGTCAATGTAAAAGAGACTTTTCATTGTGTTTGGTACAGCAAATTCATCATCCAACTGTTGTACCATGGACTACATTTAAGAGTTATGCCTAAAGGCAGCTCAGTAATGTTTTAGGTTTCTATAAATTGTGCTTTTTCTCAATCCCTGCATAACAAGTTTCAATGCAAGTTTTATTTATAGTGTTTTAGCTAGTATCAATTAAGCTAATTGTGTTCTTTTAATTCATATAATGTAATACTTATCACATTGGTATAATGGAGCAGAGTAGAGCTGCAGTGTATAATTTAAGTAGGTGTCTGTAGTGTTTATACACATGCACTTATTGATCATTGTTAAAAAGATGCAGATGTTTTAAGTATGTTCTCCATAATGTATTTTTAGGATTGAAGAAGCTTCACCACCAGGTTGTGGATTTTGCCATATACCATATGATGAATTGAACATGCCATTCCCTGCTCACCTCACTTACTGTTACAACTGCAGGAAGCAAAAAGTTCCTGATGTCCTTTTCACCACAATTGATCTTCCAGTAGAAGCAATAGTTATTGGGAAGGGATGTCTTATTCAAGCCAGGTATCTATCAAAATGTTTCCTTAGTAAAGTTTTGGAGATCCTTGAAATAATTCCTGTTGCTAAAATCCAGTATGTCATCAAACTTCATATTTTTATGTTGAATTGCTAGGTATTAGGGAACAGGAGAAGGAAGAGGACAGCCTACTCCTCCCTCTATGTTGTGTCACCTCTGTTGATGGACATCTGTGAACTTACCCATGTTGATAAACATTTGCTAAATGTTCTGCTTTTGTTTTTAATTGCCAGTGAGGATTGTTACATTTTTTCTGCCTGGATGTGAACTTTTTTTCATGCTTTCTCTTGCTGTTTGGGACTGCTAAAATGGTTAGATACAGCTCTTCCACTGGAAACTTAATCATCATAGAATCATAGAATTGTTTGAGTTGGAAGGGGACCTTGAAGATCATTGAGTTCCAACTCCCTTGCTGTAGGCAGGTTCACCTGAATGAACTGTTTCAGCCAGTTGTGTTAATTCCATGCTGATGTCCATAACTGAACATCATCTCTGTGGAATTGTTGGCTGTGTCCTGTTTTATGCTGTGGTCTTTGACTTTGGAAAAGGGAAAAAAGTGGGAAAGAAGGAAGGGGCAGCTGTGTACAATCTGTATGGGTGGCCAGCCACGTGGATAAATAACTGATTGGATGTTTGGGCTGAGAGAGTAGGAGTTTATGTTTTGTAACCTACCTGGATGGCCATGACAAGTATAACAGAGTCTCTGGTGGGACCTGTCCAGTTGAACCTCTTCATGATGTGGAGGGGATGATGGACTGCATTTTCTTCAAGTTTGCCTGTTACACCACAGTGAGTGGAACCAGCCAGTATGGTACCTGTTCATTTTTGTCCTCCTCTGAGAGCAGGACAGACACCAGAAAATGATAGAGCAAGTTTGGAGGGCCAGCAAGGGAGTAAGGAGTACCTGTCCTATGCTGAGAAGCTGCAGGTGCTGGACTTGTTCAGTGTGGAGAGGGAAGGGATTTAGGGACACTTAATAACAGCCTGCCAGTATCTAGAAGGAGGTTATAGAGCATGTGTAGCCAGGGTCTGCACAGTGGGAGGGTGAGGCCCAATTGAAGCAAGAGAGATTCAGAGTGCATGAAAAGCCACTTACCCATGAGGACAGTCAGGGAGTGGGGCAGATTGCCCTGGAGGTTGTGCAGTCTCCATCTTTGGGGCGTTTTCAAGACATGACTGGCCAAAGCTCTGAGTGATTCTGCCCCTCTGCTCTGGTGAGACCCCACCTGCAGTGCTGCATCCGACTCTGGAGGCCTCAGCATAGGAAGGATATGAACCTGCTGGAGCAGGTCTAGAGGAGGCCAAGTTGATTAGAGAGAGGGAAGAAAGGCTGAGAGAATTGGGATTGCTCAGCCTGGAGAAGAGAAGGCTTTGGGGTGACCTCCCAGTACCTGAAGGGAGCCTACAAAAAAGATGGAGAGAGACTATTTACAAGGGCCTGGAGTGACAGGACAGGGGAGAATGGCTTCAAACTGACAGAGAGTAGGTTTAGATTGGGTATTGGAAAGAAATTCTTTAATGTGAGGGTGGTGAGACACTGGAACAGGTTGCCCATAGAAGTTGTGGATGCCCCAATCCTGGAAGTGTTCAAATCCAGGTTGGATGGGACTCTGAGCAACCTGGTCTAGTGGAAGGTGTCCCTGCCCACAGCAGGGGGGTTGGAACTGGATGATCTTTAAGGTCCTTTCCAACCCAGGCCATTCTATGATTTAAACTCTGTGTTCAGCACCATTTTGGAAATGTACTTTGTGTTAAACGGTGGTCCCCAGTATGTCTCTGGAGCACTTGCAGATGTGTCATTTTCTCGAGAATTCATTTCTTAAAACATTCCCATTGCTCAAAAAAAACCCCAAAACCCAACAAAACAAAAAAACTGAAGCTATAGAAAGTTTTTGAGATGAGCTTGTTACAGTTTGGTGAGTTAGTATGTTTTCCTGATCATGTAGCAAGTGAGGTCCATGGAAGAAATTGTTGCCCATTTGTTTCACTAAAATGGACAGTTGGCATGTGCTCCTTTTGAACAAAATTTCTCTCTGAAAGTATCCCTGGTATGGGCTTTGGATTTCAGCCTGTAGGATTAAACCCAAAGTGTGACATAATATAGCCAGAGATGGAATTGCTGTACTCTTTCTTTTATTCTTTCAAGATAAGTACTTTCAGTCTGGTTAATGCTTGAGCTGTGAGGGCACTTGGGTGGGGTTGGTTTTCTTTATTCCAGTGTGTGTCTTCAATAACTGTATTAATAGGAATTTTAAAAGTTCTACCAGTAGATGTAATTTCCTGTGCTTGTACCTGAAGTGTTTGAGGTTTGCAGCAAGAGAAATGAATGTTTACATTTGGGGTCTTACTCGAAACAGAGCTGAAAATACAAGTTTTCAGATGACACAGTCTGAAGGAGTTCTTGTAAAGAACTGGCATTTTATTTTACACTTGCAGCAATCCAAAAGAGTACACCTCATCAGTTCTGAGGCTTAATTGAAAAGGGCTGCAGGAACTATCCCTTGAAATAATTTTTTTTGAGGAGGTATAATGGTGGTGTTTAACAGCTACCAGACAACTTGCAATAGCAGGAGAGCTGTGCTTGTCTGCAGAATTTGCCTTGTAATGATCAGGGCAAATTTTTAACAGTTGCTGCTATGTAATAGGAGTGTTAATATGTTTAGCCAAACATTCAGTAGATGCTTATCAGGAATCTGTAGATAAGGTCTTAATGTTGCATATTTATTCTATGCTGTCAGACTGTTATGACAGAAACGCTGTGTGATGAGTGTTGTTTCTGTCTGATAACAGTCCTTAAGCATATTTTAAGAAATGAGATATTATTCAGTGATTTGCAAAAAATACATTATTTGTAATTTTTGTACTTGATAATCTGCTTTGATAAGGAATATTTTTGAATGCTGCTGAAGGTTATGTATTGTTCTGTTTGATAAGTTTACTTTTTATGTTACCCATTTTAAATGCATATAGAATACAGTTTAATATAATACAGTTCCTATTAAAAATCAAACCTTGCTTATTGAGACTTGGTACCTCAGTCTGCCTTGATCTTCCTGATGAGAATTTAGTGTTTTACTGGATTTTAAAATACAGCAAAAAGAAACTGATTGTATTCAGTTACACAGTGAGGAAAAAACTCAAAATACCCTGTGATGACTTTGAATCTTCACTAGCCCATTAGGACTCTGTGTCTGCTGATCCCTGCAGATCTCACGTGCTGCTCTGTGTTCTCAGGTTATGCCGCCTGAAGAAGAAAGCTCAAGCTGAAGCAAATGCAACCTCTATCAGTAACCTCCTGCCATTTATGGAATATGAAGTGCACACACAGCTGATGAATAAACTGAAGCTGAGAGGAATGAATGCTCTGTTTGGGCTGAGAATCCAGATCACCGTGGGGGAAAATATGCTAATGGGGTTAGCAGTAAGTACAGATTGAATCTTCAGATTCTTTGGCTTTCTTACAGTACTTTTTCAGGAAGACATAGCAGTGTTGTGGAATTCGGAGTGACTAGAGATATTAAAATGTCATTTTAAGAATAAATGAACTGATGGAAAGGAACAAGGTGTCTAATTATTGTCAAATCAGGGCAGACTGTCTTTCATCAGCAGAGAAGGAAGATGCAAATCTCTTGAAACCTTGTTATAGGACAAGATTACTAGAAAGGGGATGAGAGGAAAAGAGGCTTTAAATGGTTTAATGGCATAAATTTCAGAAAAATGATTGTGTTCTTTAAAGGTCCTGTGAAAGAGGTCCCTGTTTCTCAAATTGCATTACAGTTCCATGACAAGTAAGGTCAATTTAGTCTCAGTAAGTCTTCTGGTTAGTTGCCAACGAGAGGAAGGTTTGTTGCCTTTTCTGTGATGGCACTGAAGAAATAAGTGATAGATTGGAAGTGTCTTAGAGTCAAGAATTGTTCATTAACAGTATTTTTCTAACCCCATTCTGTCATGTTGGGTTAGAATAGTGAAATGTGCTGCTTCTTCCTGCATCAGAGGGTGTTTGGGTAATACTGACTAGCTTGCATGTTCTTTTTGTCTTCCGTGATCTGTTTTCTGTAAATAGAAATAGGATTGTCACAATTTCAGTGACACTGTAAATGCTTGGGTCAAGTTTTAAATCCTCGAAACCATCACTTGCTTATGCAAAATATCCTGGGACAGAGGTTTTAATTTTTAATCTTTTCAGAATTTTTAGGTAAGTGAAGTGCTCCACTATGGAAAAATCCCATGAGAAGGAGAGAATTTACCGGAAGAGTAGTGGGATTTTTTCATAAGTGGGATTTTTTTCCTCATAAGTGAATGGGAGAGAGAAATCCATTTATTGTGTGAAGAGGCTGTGCTGTGCATGTCACAGTGCTGTCTGTTGCAGCACGAGCATTATGGAAAACTTTATCTGCAGATGTTAGCAGTACATGCTTATGTAATTGTCTTTTTTTCTTAATGACTTTTTAAAAGTCTGCAACAGGTGTTTATCTAGCAGCTTTGCCAACACCTGGTGGTATTCAGATTGCTGGGAAGACTCCAAATGATGGCACCTATGAGCAGCACATATCTCATATGCAAAAGAAAATAAATGACACGATAGCGAAAAACAAGGAACTTTATGAGATTAATCCTCCGGTAAGTAAATCTTTCATTCTTAAATTAAAACACTCTGAATCAAACATACACACGGTGTATATCCATGACTCCTTAGCGACTGAATCATTGAACATAAGTTGCTTTATTAATAGAGATATAGATCTTTTTAGCTGTATTTTGGGAAGCTACTGGATTTTTCAGATCTCTTTAGCCCCATAGCCAAAAGAATCCTGAAGAAATCTGTAACTTCTGGGAGTGAGCCAGGCTGTTTCACAGATCTGTGTCATATTATGTGGGTTTTTTATGTTAAAAAGAATTCGATCTCAACCTTGGCTTGGATGAAATCCCTAGCACTTTTCACTCAGCTAGGAACTTTCATACACTATCTCAATCTATGAGATTTTTCAAGATCAGTCCAGGCATAATTTAAATAAGAAGTTTACAATAGTAACCTGTGCTGGTAACCTGTCCCTTCCAACTCAGGATATTCTGTTCTGTGATTCTGTGATTCTAAATCAGTTTGTACTTATTTAGATTTATTTCACAGTAAAATTATTTTCAGAATGTTCTGATTCTTAGAACTGTTAACAAGTTGTTTCTGATTGAAATTATTTCTAAGCTATGTAGAACATCTGCTAATTCTTATATCCTTTTTAGGAACTACCTGAAGAAATCATAGGGTCTCCCATTCCAGAGCCAAGACAACGTTCCAGGCTATTAAGATCCCAGTCAGAAAGCTCTGATGAAGTTACAGAGCTTGACCTTTCACATGGGAAAAAGGATGCTTTTGTCTTGGAGGTGATTAAATGTTTTCAGTACTCATGTTCATACTTTTCTTCTCCTCAAATATATATTTAAAAAAAACTGAGAGTAAGTTTTCTTACTCATCTCCAAGGACACATCTTAAATTGTGTAAATTTTTTTCCGTTTTGTATCAGTAGAAATTGTTAAATATTGGATTTTGCTTTGTCTTTCTTTTTCTGTTCACTTAAAGCACAGCTGTATTATGCCTAGGGACAGTATCTGAAAAAAGATTGCCCTGCTGTTCATGGACATGTAGCAATATCTAGAATAATAATTAAGAGCTGTTAAGAAATGCCCTTCTGCCTACTTCAAGCAGCAGATCAGACTGATCAAAAACTTATATTTTTATAAACATTGAGGTTCTGTGTTGTCACAGTTTAGCAAAAAAGAAAAAAAAAGCTTGTATATTCTTCCCGTTTCAAAGCTCTTATTGTTATAGTTGAATATTCAGAATAATTAGTTTCCAGAACTGGTGGTATTAACAGCATTCAAAAAACTGCATGTGTCGAGAGAGCAAATAAAAGAAGACTTGCTTTTCTGAATTTCAGCTGATGCTCTTCACAGTTAAAGAATTCATAGCTTCCAACAACACCTTCCAATTCTTTCTACAGTTACAGTTAGAAAAAAGAACAACACCTGTAGATAAAGACCTTCTCTATTCACTAAAATTCAAAGATGTGATTTTGACATTGTACAGTTTTGAAGGAAAGTAGGCAAGTATTAAAGAAGGGCTAGAGTTTTGATCATCCTGTAGATACAGGTATTACAAATACCTGTCCCTGGCTAAGAAAACACTTTAAATTACAGCCTGTAATTGCAGCCTAAAATACATTCAAGACTGTTAATCTTCACAAATCACCATCTTCATAGAAAGTAATCTGGATGAAAAGTTGTAGATAGGGAGAATAAGAGAGTGCTGTAACAGCAGTTCATTTGAAAACAGAGGTATAAAAAGAGTGAAAAAATAACAGGTTGGGAGAGTTTGGTATCATAAATTCAGATGGGTTAGTGCTTCTGCTCTTCTTTGGTTTTCCAGTGCATTAAAAAGTAAACTGGGAAGTCCCTAAAAGTAACTTTGGTGCCAGTTAACTCTCAAAGTAAAAAGGGAAGAGGACAGTTTTCAGCAAGTATTTTTTGCAGCTGGTCTTAACAGGGTTTTGATTTTAATCTGACAGGAGCAGAATTGTTTCCTCAAAACAAAAGTTATGATTGATGATCTCTGAGGCACTGTATTGAAAAATCAGAAAATACTTTGCTAAATGCAAAAGGGGTTGAATGCCTTTGTGAAAAATAGAGGATTTTGTAAGGCATTAAAAAACAAACAAACAAACAAAGAAACCAAAAAGACAACCCAAAGACTACTAAATACTGGAAAAAACATAAGCCCAGCCTTCATTTCTCTTGTAAAGGCTGTCAAATAGAAGACAGGCAGTGATAACAAAAACTCAGCATACTTCTTCTGTCCAGTTGCCTCATGAAGTGTGATACATTATACCAAAGATCAGCTGGTTAAGGGGGGTTGGAACAGGGGAAGTTTTAAGATTCCTTCCAACCCAAACCATTCTATGATTATATACAACAAGCAGAGTTCAGCTCTTTTTCTACAGTTTTGGAGAATTCTTCCTTCTGCCTTATTAACTTCAGCATGGGCTCTAGATCCCCATGTGGAAGGGAAAAAATCTTAAGTACACTATAGTGTACTGTAGAGTGCATAAAAGTAGTGCTAATGCTAGCAAGAAAAATAAGATCTGATGTTTAAGGAATATGTTGGTCCTAGAATATACATCCCTGTGTTTTGGTAGTTCAGTCTTTATAGAAAAAAAAAGACTTTTTTACCTGTGAAATCATTTACTACTGCCTTTGTTAAGAGATTGCATGTCAGAAACAATATTTCAGAAGCTTTAATTAGGCTCCTGACTGACCTTTGAAGAGTAAAATCATTGTTCACTGGAAATATGTAAGAAAAAGTTCACTGTGATGAGGAAATGCTAAGAGGTCCTGGGAAGGCAATTGTGGCAAGTAAAGCTGTCTGGGTTTTTTTATTATTTGGGGGTTTTTGGGAGTTTTTGAGGAAAAAAAAGAAAAAAAAAAAAGACAAAACCCTCTTACTTGGAGAGGGACAAGGAGAAACAATACCTGACAGAAAACCTTTTAATGCTGGAGTTAAATGATTTCCAAAATACTTGCAAGAAAATGTTAGAAGTCAGAGGTTAAACTTGGATCTCTTGCAGATCAATAAGGCAGAATAAACCTAAAGACACATGACAGAAATATTTACAGAAGGTAGCAGGGCACGCAGCAGTCTGATCTAAAATAAGGTTGGAGGAACTAGAGGTTATTTGGATTGGAAAAAATAATAGTCCCAAAATTCACCTTTTCCCATTTCATTTTCTGCTGTTCTTTCTAAGGAAGGTTTTTAAAACGCTGGGAAGATTTTCATGTGTCTTTAGGACAGGCAAAGAACAATCACATCAGTGTAATACAGCTTAGCTGGAAAAAGCTGTGAGTTATTATGTGGAACCTTGTTACGCATTTTAAATTGTTTTAGAAAGTCTCTTTATATTATCATCTACTGCACTTTTCTATGTATTCTGTGTACATAGCTTTATACAGTCTAATTAAGGGAACTATTTTTTGAGTGTTAAGCATATCATAGGCTGCTAGTTAAGATTCAGAGGTCTGGTTCATAGAATCCTTTTCAAAGAATCTCAGCCAAGCTGCCAGATACAGATCTTTTGATGACAGAATTTTTACATCTTTCTGAGACTTCTTACTGGCACAGCAACGTGATTTTCATCAATTATTCCTTTTTACAGATTGATGATACAGATGCAATGGAAGACGTACATTCTTTACTGACAGATGTTCCACCACCTTCTGGTACAGTTAAAACCTTATTTTTCTACTTTATAGTAGAAAAGGAAAAACTGGAATTAGTTTTATTAAAAATTATTTTAAAAAATGCCACAAGAACTGAAAATATTACTGTTTCTGAAGATTTTTGGACTGACTGACTAATTTTTAGGTTTCAAATCAGTTAAAGTAGAACAGAAAACTAATTATTGCCTTATATCAATCATCTTTATGCTATTTGTGGATGTATACATTTCTGTCATACCCTCCCTGATGGAACTTCTGGATGTGGAGAAGAGGTTAGTGTAGTTGTCCATTATATGGAAATTGCTCTGGACATTGGGTTGTCCTTGTCCTCCTTGTTGTCATTGTGAGTTTCCCCATGTTTCTATCAGCAAGTAACCGTTTCCTTTCTAATAACTGGTATAAGTGTTTATAATTTTAAGTCCTGTTGAGCTCAGAACTATCCTTGTCATAGTTATCTATTATTACCACCAAATCTTTTATTCCTCATTGATTATCCATTGTCCTGCTGCAGTTGAATTTACTACCCTAAAATAAGGCCACCAGCAGTCATCTCATTTTATCCTCTTTTGCAGATATGAATATGCTTGAAGCATAAAATCCTGAGTTACAGATGTCTCTTCTGTGAAAATGGAGAATTTATTTTGTCTCTCTTTTTCCAGTCTTATAATAATTGCATTTCCTTTAATGACACTTCATTCTTTTAGTTTGGTAAAGAGTCCTTGGTGAAGGAACTTACCATGTGCTTTCTGATGTCCCAAAAAGGCTGTTTCAGTCAGAGATCTTTTGTCTATATGCTTCTTGAGAGCTTGTGAGCTATGACTGTTCCTTAGGGAAGTCTTCTCAGCATCTCTGCAGTGTCTTGTTTTTCCTTCTGCCCATTAACTCCCTTTTCTGGAATAGCTGCTGTGGGCCAGTAAAAGAGATATCTGTATTAGGCAAATAATTAGTAGATCCCAGGCAGTAAGAGCTCCTCAGTACTTGAAGATTAAAGAATCCTCTCCTCTGGTAATGGAACAAGTTTAAGTTAAGAGCTCAATGCCATTTAGTCAGCTGTTTGATTTTTTTTTTTACCGTTTCTCTTGTTTATATGAATCTTTATTTTTCATTTACCCACTTATCTCCTTCAGACACATCTCTAAGATGGATTCTCTGATGGGAAATAAACATGAGACTGGTTTTCCACTATTGTGGAAAGCTCTACTTACATCAGTGGTGAACACTGATGTAAAAAAAAAAAGGGACATGTTTTCTGCTCTTGTGTTATCATCTCTTCATATTTTTTCCATATCTTACTTGATTCTTTCATATAATTTCTGCTTTTGATGTTCTGAAAGAAAATCTATTAATATTTATATCTTCTGCAAGCTGCTACACAATTTCTTTCTTTTCTAGCTTATTTTTTGCTTTTATATTGGCTCTACCAGATGGGCCTCTTTTCTGCTTATTTAGCTATATCTTCAGACTTTCAGCATTGCCTATTTGCTGTTTATAACTTTTCTTACTTTGCTGTTTAGTTATTTTTTTTTAAGTGCTGTTTATTTGCACTCAGTCTCTAGGTAGTTTCTTTACAGCATCTCTATGCTGTCTGTCAAAGGTTGGCTTTTCAGCTTTTCCTTTCACACCTTGTTGATAAATTTCCTCATTTGTACACAGTTTATCTATTAGAAATTAGGCAGAGCAGTTGTGGATTTTGGGTGTTTGCTCTCCCTTCAAGAATACTACATTTGTTTTTTGAATGTCAGTCTCATTTCTGGTGTGTTATTCAATATTCAAAACTACATGAGGGAAAATACTTTGCAAAACATTAAGGTCGCATGTTTCTTTAGAAGTATTTTTATATGTCAGTGGATAAAATAGAGTTTCCCAAATATTTTCTTCACAGGTTTTTACAGTTGCAACACGGAAATTATGCCTGGTATAAATAACTGGACACCGGAAATTCAAGTAAGGTTATTTATTCAAAGAAAATTGAAACTTTTTGCTAATTGTGTTGAAATATGCTCTAGTAATTGAAATATCTATTCGAGAGCACTACTTTTCAAAGATAAATTAAAAGGATACCCTTAGGTTGGAAATAAAAGTAGTGTTTTGGTAAGAAAAACAGGGTATGAGAACCTGTTTTTTCAGGGTTTTTTCGGTGCTGTTGTTTAACAGAGAACCTAATACAAAAATACAAAAGTCATTACAGTAAATATGAACTTCAAGATTTTAGACTTCATTAAGATCTTGACTAGATTTTGAAGCCTCTAAAACAGATTGTTGGCTGTGTTACTTAGCACGAGGTACTGAGTATGATAACATGTTATGCATTATTTTCCTTCTTTATTAATTTGTTTTGGTTTTAATATATTGGATAAAATATATTTCCTCATATTGGCAAAAAAAAATGTGTGCTTGTTTCTAATTCAGATGTTCACAGCAGTAAGAGTATCCAGATTAAGCAACATTAATCCAACAAATCAAACACTTAATAAGAACTTTAATGATCTCTGTGAGAATCTGTTGAAGGTAAGAATCTTATTTTAAATATTTTTTAATTGTTCAAATGGAAGCAAAGTAAAATTATACTATACTGAATTATGCTATACATTTTTCATAATTACTTTTTGAAATTAGACTACAAAGTGTCTGTAATTAGTTTGTAAGTTGCTCTAGAACTAAATTCAGCCTTTTTAGTATATTAAGGATTTCCAAAGCTTTTTGAATTTGAAGGAGTCCTGGCATTCTGTCCTGACTTTTCACACATGTAATTCTTCTTCAAGAAAAAATTAATACGGAATCACAGAAGCAAATAGGTTGGAAAAGATCCCTGAGATTTGAGTCCAACCTTTGACCAAACACCACCATGTCAACTAGACATATGATTACACAACTTCTGCTATGAGAAGAGTTTTGATTCTTAATTTCTCTGCAATAAACCATAGATTTGTTTTTCGAGTAACACAAATATCTTGTCTTCAACAGAGCTTGTATTTTAAACTCCGATCTATGGTTCCCTGCTGTCTTTGCCATGTAAACTTCACAGTTGCTCTACCAGAGGATGAATTAGTTCAGGTGAGTGAACTGCTGCTTTTGACTTTCAGATTGTAGGCATGGCAGTCTGGGCCTTTAATTGGTGTTTGCTGCTCAGAGTGAACTGGGCTATGATTTGATTTACTTGTATGTCTGGTGAATTCGGAAGTAAAACTCAACAGTTCATTCTTTTTCTTCACTGAACATTATGGCCTTGAGTTCACCAGTTTTGGTCCCATCTCCCTGCTCAAGCAGGATCATCCCCAGAGCACATGGCACAGGATTGTGTCCAGACAGTTCTGAAATATCCCCAGTGAGGAAGACTCCACACCCTCTTTGGGCAGCCTGTTCTATTGCACAGGAGAGAAGTTCTTCCTCATGTTCAAGTGGAACTTCCTGTGCATCACTTTCTGCTTGTTGCTGTCATTGTAATTGTCTCATTTTTTTTCTTGCCATTTCAAGATGATGTGTTGTATTTTCATTATTTTTAGACAATATGGTGTTGGGTTTTTTTTAGAAGTATAGCATCATTCTTGCATTCAGGTAAACATAATTTTCTCTTACAAAATTAATTTTAATGATTTTTTAATGTCTGTTCACCAAGAAAAAGGAAAGAACTGATGAACAAATCCACAAATGTGGGACAAACACTATCAGGCATATGATCTAACAACAGACCTTACTATTACCTTTTAGGCTCTGCTGTTGAGGGTTTTAATGGGTATGCTCAGATGATTTTTTTCCCCCCCCATATTCTGTTTCTGTGCAAAAAGCTGCTTGTTTTCAAAATTATTTTTGCAGATTGCACAAGATATTAAGTTACCTAATAAGCTATTTTTGATTTTTAGATTGCAGTCACAGCTGTTGCAATTACATATGACAAAAACCAAGCGTTACAAGCCAACAAAGCCCCTACAGAAAAGTCACAACAAAGAGGTAAATATTGTGAGGCATATAAAGAAAAGAGATAGTATTTTTCTTTCTTTTTTTTTTTCCCCCAGTACTTAATGAGTCTGCATTTTAATTTCAGTTACATATAAATATTTTTACAGGGAGGTTCTTTCAAAACATAGAGGTTTTTTAGAGTTCATGTACTTACCTCCAGCAGGATGACTTACTTATCAACTGTTAGGTATTTGCTTTACTTACAGTAACACAAAGATAAAATTTGCTATTTCCTTATTCCATCTACCATATTTCTTGGATTATTTTTAACTAAAGAATCAGTGTAACCAGATGATGACATTTCCATTGTATTTTGAAACGTAGTGTAAGTCATCAGAGAATATTTGTTCTTATAGGCACCAAATTTTGCCCTTACTTCAAGAAAGTAGAAAATAAATTATTCATAATACTTAAAGAAAAAAACCTTCTGAAAACCCTTAAGCAGGTCAGTAATGGTTTTGGAGATCAGTGAAGCATATGGAATATGGAGGGAGTAGAAGAGACTACTATAATCTGCATATGTCCTCTTGCTAATGAAGCACCATCTTCTGCTAGAAATGTATATATGCAATCTGGAAATGGGAATTCAGACAAAATTTTAAAGATGCTAGATTCTGAGGAATGGAATTAGGTAGTGGACAGAGCCATATGCTTCTAAAACATTAGTTATAGCTGACTTCTTCAGCATATTGTTTTCTTTCATGTGAAATAAATCCAAATGTTAATTTTTACTGTAATGTTTGGCTGACATATATCCAACTGCAGAATCAAAACTAAAATGCATGAATTGGTATTTTTTCCTAAAAATACTAAATCAAATCCTGTTCAATGGAACACAGGTTCTGTTCAGTGTTGCAGCTGGATTTATTGTCAGACACCTAACTGTCCCTACAGAACTACATAACTATTTGCATATGCTGAAAAAATCTGTTCCACTCAGACCTGACTAAATTGAATCTGCTAATTATTAATTGCAAATCTTATTTTGGGGGTTAATTATCAATTGGGAATGTTTTCATTGTTGAAGCATCTACAGATAATGAAGAACAGCTACAATTTCCATTGGAACTTTGCTCTGATCCACTTGCTTCTCAACCATTCTCTCCAGCTAAAGGTCAGTTAAGTGGAGGAATGTTAAACTATTGTTTTTAATTGATTTTTGGGTTCTGATCTTTCATGGTTGCTATGGCTTTAAAATATCTGTACTTTCACATGCTTTAAATATTCTTTGCTACCTAAGCATAATGGATATATTTACTTTTGAAGTCAAATTTTTTGACTTGCATAGGATGGGTTGGCTAATAATTCTATTGGGTTTTTTATAGATTTCCTGTAGCAGTTCTATCTTTCCACTTAGAATATTGAAAATGCTACAAACCACTGGGTGTTTGGTGTCATTTGACTTAGTTATAAATTACCTAATAATTAGGCTTGCTGCATACTGCTTTGCTTCTGTAAATGGCCCATGGAAAGTACATCTGTCTTCTCAGCCTCAGATAATTAATCTGATTGTTTTCATGGTGGGGAATACTTTATTTAGCAAGTACTGGTTGCATGCTGATTTTTTTTTTTTTTAAGTGAAAGGAGCCTAAACTTGTATAGTTAATAATTTGTACAGTGCAGCACAACAGCTGCTTTGTTTTACCTGAGATAGAGCAGCATTTCAAGAATGGTTGTCACAGTTTTTTTACAACTGCATGAAAAAATCAGGTGGTCATTCACTGAAATCAACCATCTTTACTTCCTTCTCCACTGTTGGATTATCTACTCACCAAAATAGCTACCTAAAGGAAATTTAGTATCTGTGAATTACTGTAAATCTTTTTTTACTAAGATGTTCAAGAGCTCCTTTTCTTTGCCCATTACATCAGTTGTATAAAGAAAGGTACCTGTCACATTTACATGTACTTTCAGAGGTCATATTAATTTCAGCAATAATATTCTCGTTGTTTTGCAATTTTTTTAAGGCGTTTGCATGTGCTTAGCTTTTAATTGGTCACATTGTGATACTGTTGACCTTTTATTTTCAAAAGGAGGAGCTATCCAGAAATATTCAGACACTGGAGAGTGTCTGTCCCTGTTAGTGGACTGTGTTACCTGTGTACTGGGCACTGACCAGTGGAGGGCAGCCTGTTTCCATGTATCCCTTTTCCTGATGTTCTTCACATTCCATCTCGTGCTGTACACAGCCTTAGAGCTTTTCAGCTGGATAACTATTCCATCTGTCATTTCTTCACATCTAGAGTCGAGCTTTCATTATAGTTACATTTACTTAGCAGCTTATTTAATATATTCCTACTTTTCTGTGGGATTGTTGTTTTAGAAATATTTGTGTACAACCTTATACAATAATGAATTTTAATAAATAATCATGTTAAAATTACAAGATAGATTTGGTAAAGTTAATTGTTTATAGTAATTCTGTCCCTATCAAAGCACATAGGATACTATATAGACAGGGGGTTTTTTATTTTGTACTGTAATTTTTTTATAAGAATCATAGAATTGTTTGGGTTGGAAGGGACCTTAAGGCTCATCCAGTTCCAACCCCCTGCCATGGGCAGGGCCACCTTTCACTAGACCAGGTTGCTCATAGCCTCATCTAACCTGGGCTTGAACACTTCCAGGGATGGGGCATCCACAACTTCTCTGGGCAACCTGTGCCAGTGTCTCACCGCTCTCACAGGAAAGATTTTTTCCTAATATCTAATCTAAACCTACTCTATTCCAGTTTGAAGCCATTTGCCCTTGTCCTGTCATTGCATGCCCTTGTAAATAGTCTCTCTCTATCTTTCTTGAAAGCTGCTGTCCTGTACTGTGTGACTCTGCTTAATATATTCTCTGAACAGACTTAATTTTGTCTTATTAGAAACCTTGGAGGGTGCAAGCTCCCACACAGGTATTCCTGCTGCTCAGAGAGGTGAGTTTACTTTATTTAGCTGTATGCCAGCACGGAAAGAGCATTCTTGGGATATTGGTATACTCTTTTTGGATGTGTCTTAATCCAGGAAGCGTTTACTAGTTAACTGAGAATGCATGCTCTGGTGTGGCTTAATGATATCGTGATATTTTGATGTGTTTTTTAATGACAAAAGTCAGATTTGTTAATAATAAGTGTCTCTCTGTCAGATATATTGAATACCACTTTATCTGACAGAAAATGATTTCCCCGAAAGAGCTGTTTTGCTTGTCTTAATTTGAAGTTAGCATGTGTTCCTTCCGTTTCTTCAGGGTAATGAAGAAACGGTGTTTGCAAACCCTTTTTTTTTTTTTAAAAGATATGCAAACACTCCTGCAACTAATACCAAAAAGTCATAGCAGAAACAACTCTTACTACTTATTGTAATGATAATTGGAGGGGGTGTTGGAGGGAGGATGTTGGGGCAAGAAGACAGCGTTTTGTAAGAATTCATTTGTGTTTAAAACCGAGGTGTTGTTTCAGCTTATCCTCATCACCAAAGCTTTTTTTTCAGTCTGTAGGTTAGTTATTGATAAAGACAGTTGGAAGTTTCAATTATGACCAGCAGCTCTTTGTGAGGAAAAGAACAGCAATGAAAATTGAAATTAAAAAAGGCTTAAAATAAAGTTAAAGAAACCAGAACTTAATACCTAAACTGAGATTAAAAAAAACCTAATCTAGCATAAGTCGTTAATGACTGTATTTGCATGTTTTTTCAGTGATGAAGTCCCAGTCAGGCAGTTGGTTCAGAGCTGGGACATCACCAGAAATCGGTATACTGGTTTGGACAAGTCCAAACCTCTACTGTAACTTTTCCTTTAAACAGACCTGGAAAGGGATGGTTGTTCTCTCTCAGTAATTGCTTCCTCAAAAGGAGCATTGAGATGAGCAAGAGACATCATCCATATTTTTTTTCTGTTTTTTTTTTCTTTTGTTTTTCTGTCTGTGTTTTCAGCAACGTCAGTTGATTACAGTTCCTTTGCAGACAGATGCAACAACTGGATAGAGCTCATTAAACTGAAAGCTCAGACCATAAGGCGCGGATCAATTAAGACAAGTAGGCGGCTGTTTCTACCACGTTATGATAATCTGAGACATATCTCTGATTTCCCAGTGGTGACTAGTGGAGTTCCCTGCCCAGCAGTAGCATTGCAGATCGCGTGTAGAATGAATTCTGAGTGTGAAAACTGCCGACATTGTTGACGTCTCTGTAAGCTCCCGTAGGGTTTATGAACCAGTAGCATAAAAAGCCAAATGTAGCATTTCTTGTTCACTTAGTAAAAATTAGCTCTCGATAAATGTGTACGCCTACTAATTGTATAACATACACTGCATGGATGTAGGTGTATGTATGATCTTGGAAAATTTGGGGTGAGAAACAGGAAGCAATCACCAAGGTGACAGTCAAGGCAATGGTCACTAAATTAGCAAGTGGTGAGTTGTTTTTTAGTAGTTTCTTTGGCCACAGGTCTGACTATCTTGCTTAAATTAGCAGAGATTAATACCTGTTTTAATGGAAAATGCTGCACTGGGGAAACACAACAACTTTCACACTTCCTGTAATTTGTTCCTCCAGCAGAATACGTATTTCAAAATGTTGGCACTTTTTTCTTTACCTTCACTTTATAACTGATTGTTGTACGTGCAGCTGCTCGCCTCAATGTTTTCCTTTGCAGGAATGCCACTCTCCCAAATAAATGCCATTTCAGCTTTTTGTCTCCTTTTGCATGCTTTGCATGATGATTTTCCTTTCTCACGTGGTATGGCTGAGCATCACAGGCAGCTGAATGTTGTCACCAAGCTATTTGGAAACCATAAAGAAGAGTTTTTTGTGTTTTGGGCAACGGTGGTCGATCCTGATAGTTACTTTCTCCTGTTTTTTTCCCCATCTCTTTAGCTGCTTCACTTGATAAAGCAAGTCCACTGGCTGAGGGATACTTACGGCACCGTTCCGTTCCGTCGTGCACCAATTCTACCGTCTCAGTTGTTAAGATGACACCTCTTTCTTTTCTGCCTGGGGCTAAAATAACCAAATACCTTGGGATAATCAACATGTTTTTTATACGAGAAACCACTTCTTTGCGTGAGGTGAGCTGTGTGCCCAGGGATTTTTTGTTAATTGCAATAATCAAGGGTAGATATCTGGAGAGTTTTGAGTTGAAGTATGGCACAGCCAGGGAGCAGGATTTGTGTCACTTGAGGGCACGTGCTGAGTGGGGAGTAAGTTCCATTGCACTGTTCTTGTTGAACACACAGAGCTGCTTCGTGTTTGGCAACGTTAGGAAAGGGTTACTTAACCATTGCCATTGCTGTTCAGTTGGATATAATACTAAACCAACGAGTTCCTAGACAGAACTGTATGGAAAAAATGGATCTTTTGACCAAAGTGATAGTTGGGATCATTTGAACCCAAACCAGAGATTAAGTTAAATGCTAAAAGAAATAAATTCATAGAATCACAGGTCCCTTCCCTGGGTTGGAAGGGACCTTAAAGATCATCTAGTTCCAAACCCCTACCATCAGACCAAATCATCCATTCTTCTCTCTTTTAGCAAGCTCAATGATTAACTTTCACAGCGTATTTGGATTTTAAAATTCTTTGGTTAACACAAGGTTACTCATGTTGTAGGTAACTGTTGTGCTGATTTTTACCACTGCATTCCGTGCATTCTCTGTAAAAAACCTCTGTGTGATGAATGTCAAAAAGTATGCCATGGAGTCTATAACCACACAACCAGGTTACAGCTGTAGCCAGTGATACTCAAACACTGATCTCCAGTCTGGGTCTGGAAAACAAATAATCCTCTGAGGATGCCAAAATGCAAGCCATGTTCCTTATAATTTTCATATCCTTTGGGGAAGTAGCTGCATCTTTCTGCTTTTGGCCACAAGTACCTCTTGCCTGGTTTGTCAGTGCTGAAGGGGGTGCTGTTTCTTAATGATTACACATGGATAAAATCAGAGAGCAGATGTTAATAAAGCTGATCAGCCTTCATGAGAAGGAGCTGTGAGCTCTCTAGAGAAATTTTGGTCAGACAAACTTTTGTTTGGATTTTGCAAGTTACAGCCCCTTTTAACTTGGGAAATCTATGTGTGAGAAGGACAGTATTTTCAAAAGGTTGTATGGTCAGAGCAGGGAAATGGTTATGTGACATTTCTATATGAAGTGCAGCTTCTGTAGATAAAAGTTCGGTAGCTGATAAGCGGCTTTGGTAACTGTCATAGTAGATCCCAACACAGATGGGTTGCTCAAGAATTTGATTCAGCTCCTCCATGAAGTTGGGACAGTTGTACAGTCTCTGGGATACTGTCAGTGTGCTGTTTCCAGCACCCAGGGCAGCTCATTTAAATTGCTTCAGCTACACAGGCTGTGGTACAAACCAGTCGAAACACTGGTTGCACAGTGTTGCCCTGAGGCTGTAACAGAGTCAGAACAGAGCACTTGTTATATCCAACTCCAGCAATGTGTTTCAGGTCCCACAGGAAAGTAATTAGCAGCATTTCTGTTGTTATTGCTTACAGAATATTGAGGCCCTGTGAATGCTTTCATAGGCTGAAATGTGTACCAGAATCAAAAATGAATAATAATTTAAAGTCTGATTGATCCAATAATTTTAGGGTTTGCTGTTTACAGGTGGGTATTTTTAATCTTTTTGTTACTTGCTGTCATTAAACTTTGTATTAGGCTTATAATGTATTTTTTTCCCTATCGGTCGCTGTAACTGTTAAAAAAGTAGAAAAAAATCAAAATTTCATGAGAACGATAAACTTGCATTGAATTTTGATTTTTGTCTGCAGTTGACTTCATTCCTGCTTTATGCTAGGATTGATAAAGTTATACTTGCCCTTTTGTTTATAAATGTTCATCCAGGATCTGTTTTTTTTAATGTCTTTGTGAATCTGTTCAAGGTAGATTATACTTCTTCCAGTAGATATGAGTACAGCCCATATAAGTTCAGCTTAGTTCAATCTCCTCTTCTGCCTGCCTCTTTCATTTTCACCAGTGACACACACACACACACACATGTGGGAAGTCTTGGTGGTCTTGCTTTTCATTTTGAAATTTTACAGATATTTTGAACCAATAGTGAACTCTTGTTTGATCAGTTCATTTTCATAGTTTTTTTCTGTGGATTTTTATTTTTTTGGTTGGTTGCCTGGTTGGTGTATGTTTTTCCTCACTGTGTAGTTGTTCACATTCTTTCATAAGGGTTATCTAGGAAAGTCCATACTTTGTTGTTTTCCTTCTCCTTTCACATCATTTTAAATTATTCAACTTGGCACCAAAGAAGTAAAAATTCCCCACAAGCACCATCAAGTCAAAAAAATTAATGAAATGGGATGGCTAGAAGTTCCTTTGGGCTTCAAGGAGGAAAATAAAATAAATAAATAGCTTGAATAGCTCAAGTCTCTGCTCTGTCCCTTGCTTACTTTTTATTTTGAAGGATCATTTCTTTACTGAGTGTTGAGAACTAATGACAGTCATTAACATACATGAAGTTGGAGTGATCAGAGGTAATGGCCACTCCTTACTGGTAATTTCCAGTAAGTCTAAATCTTTTTAATCCTCAGTATGAATTATTCTTTATTTGATTTCCAGTTATCAAAAAAAAAAAAGGGCAGTATCCTTCCTGATGAAAGAATAAAGTTGTTATTGAACTGTCATTGGAATGTTAAATGTTCCTGCAGAGGTGTAGGAATGTCTGAAAAGCATGAGTATATGTAATATACTGACTGCAGAGAATGAGTCACAAACGAATAACCTACTTGTCATACTTTTCCTCAGACAGTAAGTTCATAGAATCACAGAATGGTTTGGATTTGGTTGGATACTAAAGATCCAACCCCCTGGCATGGGCAGGGAGACCTTCCACTAGACCAGGTTTTTCAAAGCCACATCCAACCAGGGATGGGGCACCCACACCTTCTCTGGGATGAATTTCTTCCTAATATCTAATCTACTCTTTGTCAGAGTGTGAAGCTATTCCCCCTTGTCCTGTCACTCCAGGCTCTTTTAAATAGTCTCTCTCCATCTGATCTTTAACTGTGAGCAGCTAAACAGTGAATAGCTTTTAACTTCTCTGCAATACACCATTTAGGATGCACTGAAATATTCAGCTTATAAATATTTAAGAAAAGTATTCAGCATCTTGTATCTAGACCTAACATAACATGTAATATATATATTTTTTTCCATTTTAGGAGGGTGGTGTCAGTGGTTTTCTCCATGCTTTTATTGCTGAAGTGTTTGCAATGGTGAGAGCTCACGTTGCAGCTCTAGGGGGGAATGCAGTTGTCTCCTACATAATGAAGCAGTGTGTTTTCATGGAGAATCCAAACAAAAATCAGGTAAATTATGATGTGAAGTAACAGTGCTGTTGTGATTAGTATGATGCAAATACACATTTGGTGTATTTAAAAACCAGCAGCTCTGGAGAGCCGTGTCTGCATAACACTTCTGGATATCTTGTGATAATGTTTGAAGAAGCCAAGAGACTTCTCGAACACCTGCCTTAACACAAAATTAGGAATATGCTTCAGAAATACCCAGATGGGTAAAAATTCTGAGTTTACTAGAATGAAGTAAATTGCAGGAAACAGTTGCACAGTAGTGCTGAACTTACTTAGTTTTCCTGTTGTTGCAGTGCAGGATTTTCATCCAAACTCCCTGTAAAAATACCTGGAGTTGCTGATGTAAAATGCTTCATTTTGTGCATAAAGGGACAAAGCCTTATTAGTAACGACTAACAATTGAATACAATTGTTTTGGCAAATGAAATATGTTCAAAACAGTAGTAAAAGCAAGTACAGCTACCCAGATATTTCATTTGTGGTGTCTTACAAGACTCCACCTGCGTGTTTGATAGCACACAAGTGAGTGAATATAAAAGAAAACATGGCACAGATTGCTTCACTAATGAATTCTAATGATTTGCCTTTCTCCTGCTCCCCATGGACTTTTCTGTGTTTTTATATATAGCAGATATAAGTAAACATAAAATAGTTTAATAGTTTGGTAACTGGGTATTGTCTTTTTTCCCAGGCTCAGTGTTTAATAAATGTCAGTGGCGACGCCGTCATATTTGTCCGTGAGTCTGAGCTGGAAATGTTACCAGCACAGCCTTCTACGGCTGTTCCTCAGCCCACAAGTTCTGCAGGAGATGTCACAACATGAAGACAGAAAAAGTGGAATAGTCTCTGCCAAATATGAAGATTATTTAAAAGTGTGGGAATGTTTAGGTTTGCATCTTCAAAATCAGTCTCCGTAACATTCATAACCAAAATCCAAGACAATCACCTTTTTTTTTTTTTTTGTGGTTTAACTTTATGTAAGAGTCAGGGCAGGGTACTGGCTGGTGTGCACTGGTTCCTTTGTTGCAATTCCAGGCTGCAGTGAAACCTAGGGAGCAAGTGAAGCACTGATAAGAGTGTGGATTAGAATAGCAGGCATCACATGGAACTGTGGAATTAAGCAAAAATTCTGTTGTATTTTTGAGCTGTTCAACAGGACCACAGTAAGTTGTAATTCAGAACCACTTCTGAAGTTGGGTGTCATATGAGCTGACTTTCTGTTCAAGGTGGGAAGGAGGTGATTGTGTTAGCAGCCTTTGTCCAAGGACCAAGAGATTTGTATCCAGGCCAAGAAAATGCAGGCTGGAGCCTGAATTTCCCTTGGACTGTAGAGTGTGAAGAGGAAAAAGCAGCACCAAAAAGTCACAGTTTAAATTTCTGCACAATAAAACTATTTTTTCCTTTTTTCTTTTTTTTTTCTTTTTTTTTTTTTAATGTTGGGGTTTTTGTTTTGTTTTTATTTCTGTGGACTGTTTGTGAACTGCTGGCTTATTTTTTTTATAATCATTACTATACAGCAGATGTTTGGGGTGGGTATTTGAGAGAGTTTTTTTAATTTTTTGTTTTGTTTTGGTTTTTTGCTTTTGTTTTGGTTTTGTTTGTTTGGGTTTTTGTTTGTTTGTTGTTTGTTTGGGGTTTTTGGTTTTTGTTTTCGTTTTTTGTTTTTTTTTCGTTTTTTGTTCTTTGTTTTTAAAAAGCTGCTAGACCACAGTGCAGTGTTCCTGGGCATGTCTATCACGGGGAAAAAAAAAAAGAACAAAAAGTTCCAAAGTGTGTTTGGTGCTATTAAATGATGTTCACTTCAATATTGACAAAACAAGTCTTTCTGTTATTTAAGGTTTTGTAGAAGAATTGTCCTGAGGTTCATTTTCTTAAGGCATGAATGATCTCTTGCAAGGATGACATAAACTGTCCCCCAAAAGTCAGTTGTGCAGAGGTTATTCTGCAGCTTCCTTCCCATTAAACATGTGGGAAATGCCTGGCTGATTGGACATTGGTTTATGTCTGTGACACTGGTTTCTGCAGGTTGGTTTTGTGAAGGGGGTTTTGTTTGGGGTTTCCTGTTTGGTTTTGTTCTTTTCCAGTGGAAATGAAGGTACTGCAAAGAAAGGACATTTGTCGTTTCCAGTAAATGTCTGAAAGGTGGTGATATTTTAATGTTAAAAAAAATGCAAACTTTGATTTGAAGATGCATTCTTACTTAATTCTGACAATATCGTACATGGAACTTGAACAAAGGTGTAAACTTGAATGTAAATATTCTGTTTAGTGTTGAAATTATACAATGGCATGATTATTTGTTAAAACTAATTATTTCATTGTAAATGAGCATGAAAATCATTCTTGCACAATAAATTTCTTTATAAAATTTATTGCCTTTTTATGTGTGGGATAGGTAAATGTGTAATGATGTAATACCTACTAAAGATGTCCCACCCTGATTCTCCTCAGAGGAATGTTTTTTTGTATAGAATGTTACAACATCATTTGTATCCTGGGCTGAAAATTGTATCCTTGGCTGCATCCAAAGCAGCGTGGGCACCAGATGAGGGGGGGATTCTGCCCCTCTGCTCTGGCACCTGCAGTGCTGCTTCCAGCCCTGGGGGGTCCCCAGCACAGGAAGGACATGGACCTGTTGGAGCAAGTCCAGAGGAGGCCACCAAGGTGGTCAGAGGGATGGAGCACCTCTCCTGTGAGGAAAGGCTGAGAGAGTTGGGATTGTTCAGCCTGGAAAAGAGAAGGCTTTGCAGTGACCTAATTGGGGCTTTCCAGTACCTGGAGGGAGTCCACAAGAGAGATGGAGAGAGACTACTTACTGGAGTGACAGGACAAGGGGGAATGGCTTCAAACTGAAAGATTTTGAGTAGGTTTAGATTAGATACTAGGAAAAAGTTCCTTACTGTGAGACTGGTGAGGCACTGGAACAGGTTGCCCAAAGAAGTTGTGGCTGCCCCATCCCTAGAAGTGTTCAGGTTGGGTGGAGCTCTGAGCAGCATGGTCTAATGGAAGCTGTCCCTACCAATGGTGGGGACAACCCCCAACACCCACCCCAACAACCCCTGAACACCCTCCTCAACACCAGCCCCCCAACTGATGAACTTTGAGGTCCCTTGCACCCCCAACCATTCTATGATCCTACAATTCTGATATTTTGGAAAATTAATTACCCTTTGTATTTGAAGTGTTTGAATTCGGTCCTTACCAGAACACGTCACTAATACACTTAATCAGCTTTTCAATTTCTGCAGCTGTTGCAACCAAAGCTGCCATGAATTAGTTTGCCTGTGAACAGTTGCAGCTCTCTTGATTATTTTGCAAGGCAAATCTTGTTCCCCTTTGAAGCTGATGGCAGAATATGAATAATTTCAAAAGGTCTTGGATCTGGCACAAGAAGTTGTTTTCAGCATAAGTATTCAGCATGAAATATTATCTGAAGTAGCACATTAAGGTAGCTGGTTTTGATTATTTTTCTTTTTTTGTGGGGTGGTGGTTGCTTCTGTGGAAACATTAATGTCATCTTTTCATTTCTAGCTGTTTAAAGGTCACAGTTTCCTGTAGTGTGTTTCATTAGACATAGAGGAGGAGCTTTCTCATCTGGAAATCTTAATTCTTCTCTAATTATTTCTCCAGAAATGACAAACATGGGTTTTAACTGTTACTAATTGGGATTTGACTTTTCTTAGTTTGTCCAGTTGGATAAATGTAACCTTTAGAAATTTGTACAGTTAAATTGCATTGATTGTTATTTATATTTCTCTCCACTGTAAAAAAAAAAAAAAAAAAAGGGATAAGTGTGTGCAAGCACACTTTGTCAGGAATTTACTCTGGGAATAGCTGCATTGTCTGTCTCAAGCCAGGAGCTTTCTCATGCCCTCCTGCTGGGAGGGAAGGAGCAAGTGAGCAGCTGTGTGGTGCCTGGCTGCCTCCCAGGGCTGATCCACAGCATTGCTGCTTTCTCTTGGCTTGAGGAGCCCAAACATCACAGGGTGGGGGGAAAGTAGCTCTGTTCCTATCTGCAGTCCTTGGAAGAACCACCAAGTTTGGGTTTAAAACCTTCATTTCAATATTGTGAATAAACTGGGTGGTTTTATTAGAATGAAGTGGTAGCATCTGATGTAAAAATCCACCTTCTTCAAGCACTGCTTTACTTGCAGCAGAAAAGCTGGGTCTATGTCAGGCTTTCAGGGCATGAAGAACTGTCCCCTCCTCTGCAAAATAGTAGCAGAGTAGGGAAGAGCTTCTGCAGGTGATGCTGGTGCTGCTTGCTGATTCTTTCCACGTCTTTCTCTAACCACCACTAAGAGATGTGTAGTGCTTGCTAAACTTGGAGGTGTACAGGAATAAACTTGAAGGGAGTTATTGGCTTCGTGATGGCTGGCTCAGTGCTTTAGGAATGCATCTTCTGGAATAACATCCCACTTTGTTTTTTCTGTTAGAAGCTGGTTTTCAGAGCTGGTTGGAAAATCCTCATTTTGCGTTATTTATCCATGTTATTCTCCAGGTTTGTGAATTCTGATGCACACATGTGAAATGTGCAAAGTGGGAGCAAATCTCCTCTAGTGAATGGTGTGAGGTTGATTGTGACTCCTCCCCAGGTGGAATCAAAATTTTTTTTTTTTTCTTGGTGTTCAGTTGAAATCAGAATTTCCTAGGAGATGAATCCTGAGGCTCTGGTTCACTTTTGTCAGACTGGAAGGCAGCCCTGCACCTAGAGACTTACTGAGAGGCAGATACATGAAAAGAGAAGCAAGACAGATGCAGGGGATTACATACAGTTGCAAAGAGTGAGACATCAGTGACTGTGAAGTTTTTGGGAGAGTTTTCAGTTCCCTTTGAGTGTTCAGATAAGGGTAAGGACCGATGGAAGCTTTGATGATTGATCTGAGCAATAGAGTTTTCTTGGCGAGCACATTAGGAACAACTGTGCTGCTGCGGCATCCACAGAACTGTTGAGCCTTGGGCTGTGTGGCAAGAAGAGTTTTCTTGCTATGCAGAATGTGTAGTTTTGCTGGATGGGAGAAAGCTCAGCTTTGACTACTCTGCAATGCAGAAATGAAGCAAAAAAGGATGAAGTGACTTACTTGCCCTGTCTGCGGAAGAGTGTTGGGCCCTGGGAGCACTAACAGGTCTTACACTCTGTGCCTGGCCTCATCCCACCCTGCCCATGGCCCCATTTCAGCCCCTGGGGCCACCTGCCCCAGCGGTGCTGCAGCAGGGCTGGTCTCCAGCCCCCTCATCCCTGCCCTGCCTGGCCATGGACACTGCTGAGCTGGGGCTGCCCCAGTGCCCCCACCTGCCCTGCCACCCTGGGGAGCCCCCATCGCTCCTGGGGGCCTGGGCAGCAGTGGGACACAGGGGTAAGAACTGGGTTTGACAAAATAGCTTAAATTTTGAATCATCATCCATTTTAAAACTGGCATAGCTTACATCAGTCGTGGTAAGTCTGACACGCCAAAGGTTTCCAGTGGCAGGAAAGGGCTCTGACTTCCTGGGGCTCTCTTCCAGGCACAGGCTGGCTTTCTTCTCAGGTTTTCAAGAAGTCAGTTGTGTAAACTCTTCCTGGGATGAGAGCAAGCCAGGCTGCTGTTCCTCGTACAAACAACCCCACCGGGTACCACTTCTTACGGGTAACGCCTCCAGTGTTTCACAGAATTGGTTGGTGTCATTTCTCTGCTTCACGGCTGAAGTAACAGAGACAGAGAGGTGGGAAGGAACGTCCCAAGGCCATGCTGGGGACCAGTGGGAGAAGCCAGTCTTTCTCCAGGCATCAAAACACTGTCCTTGAGAGCATGGTGTGACAAGTGACAATCAGCCAGACACAAATCTGTGTGCTGCTGGGTCTGCTGTCTTGTACCCACGTCATGAGCACATCTGCACCAATGTAGCTGGAGTTAATGATCTTGGATAATAATTTACTGTGTGTATGGGCAATTTACTGTGTGTATGTGTCAATGGGCAAATTGTTGAGTGAAAGATAGGGTCTGAAGTTTTTTTATTTAATTTTTGGAAACAGGAGTAATGTTTCAATTGATTTACACATTTTTAGTATGAACATGCACGCTAACGTTAAATGATACTCATTTATTTTTGTTGCAAAAGCATTTCCATTAATGTGTACAGATATTTCGATGTAAATTATAGGAAGGAGAGGCACTAGGGCGATATTCCAGTTTTGATTTCCTTTTCTTAAAATCAGATGTCTATAACACTTCAATCACGGAGAACCTTTGCCTGGAAACCTTGTGAGATTTTTGGAAATGTCAGAGTAATTACAACCTTGTGAACAGAATATTGACACCTAAAGAGCTCTTAAATTTTGAGGAAGTGCAAAGAGAGCCTGGGAAGCTCTGCAGAGATGCCATTATCTCCTGGCATGCACTCTAGAAGCCAGAGGAGCAAGTGAAAGCACTTACAGGCTGCAACCCTTCCTCTTCCTGCCTTCCTTCTCTGCCCAGTCTATCCATGTCATCTCCCCACCCGGCACCTTCCCTTCCTGGGGTCTTGCCCCGGGCTGCACTTCCCATTTCCATTCCTCCTCTCCCTGCCCTGTCTCTGGGGAGTTTGGTCAAACACAAGTAGGCAACAACACATGGTCTTACCTTCTGCATTTGCTCAGCAGAAGAGGCCGCTGTGTTTGAAACGGGCAATGGCAGGTTCTGTTCACACCTCTCCGTCTGCATTGCAGAGCTGTGCTTGGAAATTCAATTTCCAAGCTTTTACTGAAATTGGTGATCTCTTTATTCTTTGGGCTCAGTCCAAGTGCAGCTCTCAGTCCAGGTGCTGTTTGCAGGAGTGGAAACGGCTGAGAGAAGGTGAAATGAAGAGTCACTTGTTATTAAATTGTCATAACGTCCTTCCTCTGTCTTCCCTGGTGCTCAGCTCCTGCCCTTGCACCGCACACTGCGAGCTTCGTCACCAATTCACTCTGTCAGCTGGAGTTCTGTGTGCAGAGTGATCAGAGCACGCTGGTCTGGAGGGATCTCTTGTTCATGTCAGAAACCTGCAAACAGGCTTTTAAATTGTCACTTCGATTTTACGTATATCAGCTGTTAAACTCACCCGGAGGCCATGTGAAGGGAATGAAATTCAGCAATGATGTGTTCTTGCCATCGTTTCTTGTTGACAGTGTTGGAGCACTATTTGTTGAAGGTGAAATGTGTGTCTGATACCACTGATGGTTTTGACTGCCTCCACAACGAGCAGCAGACAAATCTGCAGGGCATCTCACAGTCCGGAAGAGTTCGGTGTCACTGAGTTATTTCCCTATTGCCTCTGCAGAGTAAGAGGGGCTGAGATAAAAAAGGGAAAGGCAGGTGATAGGATAGATAAAAGAAGGTAATGTGGGCAGGAGAAATAAGGAAAGAGCAT